ATATATATATATATATAAAATAAATAATTACAAATATTATTTTAATGCATGAAAATTTCCACTGAATGTAAACAAATACAATAAAAAATATATAATATAATAATATACAAATATATAAAATATAAATACATTTATAAATATATTTTTTTAAATTAAAAAAAAAAAAAATGTGTCAAAAATATTAGTTCATGCAGTATATGGTTGAGTTCACAAATAGCTGAAATGACGCAGGTAGGTATTGATAAAGAAGTGGGGTTTCTAACATTGTGCATGAACGTTGCATCCGAGAAAGCTGCAGAAGCTATGCATGAATAGTGCACCGAGTTTCATTAATACACGTTTTATGTTTTGCAAGTCTTGCCAGAGAAAATTCCCCGTTAACACGAGTGCAACAGTGATGCCCGTTTACCCATTTCTTTTCTCCATTCGGATTCCAAAAAAAACCACAAGCTGAGATTAATCTCAGCATCATTGGTTTCTGTGTCTCTATGGAGAAAACAAATAGAATGCATCAGTCTGTGATGTCACCGCGAATGCTCCTCCCCCTCCACCAAACCCCACCCCCTTAAAATCACACACTTTTCCGCATGTGGCGCACCGCGGCGTTCTAACCCCTCTCTTTTCTCTCTTTCCCCCCGTTTGTCTTCTCGCAGTCGCTGTGAGCGCTTGCCTTGTAATCAGACTAGCGAGTGTCTGGCCTTGCCTGTGAGAATTACCTACTACCACCTGACATTCCCCACCAAAATCCCCATTCCCACCAACATCTTCCGTATGGGCCCGTCCAACTCGGCGCTCGGGGATGACATCGAGGTGGCCATCGTGGACGGTAACCAGGGAGGCTACTTCGCTGCCAAACGCGTGGAGAATGGCGGCGTCCTGGTGGTCCAGAAACCCATCGCGCTTCCTCAGGACTTTGAGATCTCTCTGGAGATGAAGCTTAGGCGATTCGGACACCTTAGCGTTTACCACTTCAAGATCCGCTTGTTCGTAACCCCGGACGAGCTGAGCCACATGAGCGAATGAAACCGCATAATGCTTGATTAGCTGCTTCCATGTGCCTTGGGAATCTCGTCTAACGTTGCCTTCAAGTCCCTCTGGAAAGATCCCACTTACTAATTTGGAAATTATTGTTACAATGTGATCAAGTGATTTCGGTCGGAACATAATCAATGGCATTTTTCATTTCGAGCAACAAAATGAAGAGCAAATCATGTGTATTATGTTTGTAATCAGTGGCTTGTTAATTGCAACCTTTTTGACCAGCCCTTTATGAATTATGACCAATACAGTTCAGGGTTATTATCATAAAATAATAATTATTTTTTTACAATTAGATATGTTGCATTGGAATGAATTTAAATTGAAGCAGTAAAATGAATAACTGGAAATAAATAAGAACAAAAACTCAAACTGAAATGAAAATAAATCTTAAACAGTAATATTAAAAAATAGTGATAAAAATGAACTAAATTACTAACATTATATAAATTAAAATTTAAAATAAAATAATACAAAAATAACACTGATACTGATTTGCTTCTGACTTGAAAATGCGGAGTTTCTCACTGCTAACTGATCATTTCCTAAGCTCCGCCCCCCCTTGGTTACTGTTGCTATCTGATGTTTTGCAGAATGTCTTGCAGGAATGAACTGAAGAGTTCCTTGATAAAGTGGAAATAAAAATAAATAAAAGAATAGTTTCATTAAAATATGCACATACAATGGTTAAAAACTTCTAATAAATTTAAAAAACTTGTTTTTCAGGAAAATATGCTCATACAGTGGTTACAACATTTGCAATAAATGTAAAAAAAAAACTAATTCAGTAAAATATGCACAAAGTGTTTAAAAAACAAAACAAAACAAAAAAACAGTTTTCAGTAAAATATGCACAAACAAGTTGTTTATAAATGCAATAAAATTAAAAAATATATATATTTTCAGTAAAATATGCACATTCATTGGTTAAAAAAATATTTAAAAAAAATGTATTTTCTGTGAAATATGCACATGAAGTGGTAAAAATAGCAATAAATAGAAAAATATTTTCAGTAAAATATGCACTAATTGGTTTAAAAATGCCATAAATATCAAAAATTTCAGTTAAATTAGCGCATCAATGGTTAAAAAATTGCAATACATATAAAAATTTCAGTAAAATATGCACATAAAGTGGTTGAAATAAAGTAATAATTAATTAAAAAACAGATTTTCAGTAAAGTTTGCACATGAAGTGGTCAAAAAATGCAATAAATGTAAAAAATATTTTTTTCAGTCAAATATGCACACCAATTGGTTAAAAAAAATCTTAAAATCTATTTCTGTTCACGAAAATTCACTATTCTATACTACACTATTTTACATGCAATAAATGTGAAAAAAGGTTTTCTGTGAAATATAAAGTGGTTAAAAATAGATTTTCTGTGAAATATGCATAAATAGTGTCAAAAACGGCAATAAAAAAAAAAAAATTTCAGTAAAATATGCACAACGTGGTTTTAAAAAATGCAATAAATATATATATATTTGTAAAATTCTGTTAAATTAGTGCATCAAGTGGTTAAAAAAATGCAATACATATATTTTCAGTAAAATATGCTCATAACCTGGTAGAAATGTAACTCTTAAGAAATTGTTCACTTATCACACAGTAAAATGAAAAGCTGCACAGCAACAGTCGCTAAGCTGGGATCGTCACTGAAAGGTCCCTTACGATGTTATGGTGGCGTTCACGAGCTCTGGTGAATATGATGAAGCCATTGAGGCTCGAAGGCAACATGATTCTTTAGTGTAACGACAGATTCTCAGGTGTCTAATGAGGTCAAGCTCTTCATGTATCAGCCCTGCTGTTCATTATATACTGTAGTCTGTGACTGTAGCTCAAACTGTGATCAGACTTTCTGCTCAATGCGAGTCGTCTGTGTGTCCTGGGCCACTAGATGGCGCTTTTAGGCAAAGCAAATCAACTGGAGTCAAAATTCAATTCAATTCAATTCAAGTTTATTTGTACAGCGCTTTTCATGATACAAATCATTGCAAAAATCAATATATCCTTCGAATTTTTAGTATTCTATTATTTTTTGTCCTTAATTTTCTAATAAAATTTTACTGACTGTAAATTCTTGTTTGTATTTCTAAAAAATATTTTTGTCAATATCAATATCACATTTTTTCATATATATATATATAGTTTTTTTTGTTGTTTTTTTGTTTTTTTGTGACAGGACGTGAAACAGAAAGTCGGAAAATGAGCGCCCACGCATGTGCACAACCCGCCCAGAAAACATTTCATTAGTCATGTAGCGAGCATCCATTAATCATTAAAGCGGTTAGCCGGATAATTAGGCAGGCATTTGAACCCTTTAGTCTGCAGTTAAAGGCTACATTAGCCACTAATCCACCAACAGACACCCAGAAACAGACGGACTGATCTGACGATGTCCAGCTTTGAGGAGAAAACCGCCAGAGAGCTCTGAAAGATGCTAACTGCTAGTTAAAACACGCTCATGCTAGTGCTAAGACACTGTAAATCAGGGACTAGACAGCGAAAAACACCATTTTATGTCGGCTAGATGTTGTATTTGTTACACATTCTCTTTTGAAGCTAATGAATCCACTTTATACTGCATTAATCAATCATATTGAAGAGGGAGTGCATTAAACTTAATTTGGTCATTGGGGAATATTAAACAATATTAATAAGGAAAAGCTAGAATGAATAGCTATTATAAGCCATCTAAAATCATTAGCGCAAAGCTTTAATATGCAACAACAATGGACAAATATTATGGCAAATAACATAAAAGGCTGATATTAAAAATGTATAATATTTTGGCTAAATACATTAAATATAAAACTAATTTTAGGGCATTATTTTTTATTTAGTCAAAATATTACAAAGTGTAAATTATTAATTTTTTTTACAGTTATTAATAGTATAATATTTTGTCTGAATAAAGTAATAAATTACATTTGTCTAATACATTAATAAAAATAATGATAGCGTTTTATTTGAGATTAAATATTGTACCATTTTAAATGTACATTTTGTAGTGAAATTATTAAAATGGTATATTTTGTCAAAAACTGATAAAAGCATATTTGTCTATATATTAGACAAAATATAAATTTTTAAACTTACATTACATATTAAAATTATTCAAACTATGTAATATTTTGTCTAAATACATTAATAAAAATCAAATTTGTTTCATTTGTTTTATACAAAATACAGTAGAATTTTAAACTTACATTTAATATTAATATTAAAACTAAATTAATTAAACTCATTTGTGTTTTATTTATTTTAAACAAAATATTGCACAATTCTAAACTTACATTTTGTGTTAATATTATTAAAATTTGATATTTTTTGTCTAAATAAATAGTCTAAATGCAACATTAATTTTAGTGACAAAAAATAGAGAATTTTTACAAAAAAATATTACATTATTATTACAACATTATATGTAATAGATTTATGTAAATGTTGTGTTTTAAGTATATTTTAGATTCTTTTTTTTTCTGTCTCTCTCTCAAATCATGCCGGATTGGATTCCAATTAGAGGAATTGAGTTAGGTCGTATTTCTTTGGTTTCTTTTGCTCTCGCGTCTGTCTCTCTCTCTCTCTCACACACATGTGCGCACACACACACGCGCGCGCACGCACACACACACACACACACACACACACACACACTCCCACACACACACGCGCGCACACATGCACACTCGCACACACGCGCGCACACACACACACACACACTCACGCACGCACACACTCACTCACTCACTCACGCACGCACGCACACACTCACACACACACACACACACTCACTCACACACACTCACTCGCGCACACACTCACACACGTACACACACTCTCTCACTCACTCACACGCACACACACACGCACAAACACACACACGCATACTCACACACGCACGCACACACACACACACACACACTTTCTGACAGTGCATTATGGGATTCTGGGCTTTGGACAGTGGTCTGAACAATTTGTGGCGAAGCTACATCGCCGCCGTGCACCGAGAAATGATGGGCCGCAGTGTTTGTGTTGGTTTGCTATCAAGACACTGACTATAAATAATAATTACCGGAGAGAAAAAGAAGAACTTTCTGCTTGACCAGAAACACGGCCCGTCCAAAAGCCATGTTTTTCCCTTCAAATCACACATCGGGATTTGGCGTTTTGGCCCACGTGAGCGCCGCGTTCGCCACAAGGCCTTGACATTAGCTTTGAAGTTAGTGAGAGCTCTCGGCTCTTTATTTGCACCGTTTGCCCCTCTTTCTCTCTCTGCATGTCGTGCACAAGTTGGGTATTATAAGCAGGGAGAACATTTTGTGGCTTTGGCTCAGGCCTAAGCTAAACGTGGACCCACCCGCTAATTGCTAATTACAGGTCCGTGCCCAGCGGTGGCTTGACTTCTCTGTCAGGGGCTTCTCTCCTCTCGGCCGTAACCTGATCTGAGCTTTGGGGTTTCGCTGCAGCTCCTGCATCCGATCAAAGCGTGCAGAGATGAGGGTCAGCTAATCACGGCACGATGCACACATTTCAGCACACTTCACTAGAGCTGTTCGCTTTAACGCTAGCTTGTTACGGGGCCCGTGATGCACCGATATTACAAATATCGATCAGCCGGGAATTATATTTTACTGTCCATGTTATGGCCAACGGGTAATATTACAAATTGTATAATATTTTGTCTAAATACATTAAAAATAAAACAAATTTTCGTGTTTTATTTTTAAATTGTTAATCTTTCATTTTTTTATTAACAGTATTAATTTTATAATATTTTGTGTAAATAAATAAAAATACACAAAACATAAAATGTAAATCTTAAATTTTGTATTTAATTAATAAAAATGAATATATTTTGTTTACAACTAATTCGAGTTTTGTTTTTGTTAATTTTGAATTAAAATGATAAATTTTATAATATTTATTTTGTATAAATAAATTAATAAACTAATTTTAGCGTTTTAGACAATCTTAAACTTCGTATTAAATTATTTAAATTTGTTATTTTTTTCTAAAATTAAGTTTAGTGTTTTATTTAGACTAAATATTATAAAACCTTAATTTTTTTAATTATTTAAATATTTTGTTATATATTTTGTTATATTTTATTTAAATAAAACTAATTTTAGTTTTACTTTTTTTACTTAGACAAAATAGTATACAATTTTGTATTACAATTATTAAAACTGTATTTTACTTTTATATTTTATTTTTTTGTTTATTTTTATTTAGACAAAATACCATAACGTGTAAACATAAAATTAAAAAATAATAAAAAATTAATTTGCTTGTATTTTTTTGTTCATATTTTATTTTTTATTAATTCAGTATTATAAAATTTTAATATTTAGAATCGTTTTTTATTATATATTTAGTGAATTTAGATATCACAACATTACAATATACAGTATACATTTTTAATTCATTTTGAAATTTACTCAGAATTACATTTAAATTATTAGTGTCTTTAATAATGTATACATTTATAGATTTTAAGTGAGCATTTGATGACAGTAAAGGTTATATCCAGTATTGACCGATACCAAATAAATAAAAAAATGCAATGAGATTTAACAAAACTTAACAATTGAATCTCTTTGCTATGTAGGAGAAACAACTGGAGATTAAAGAGATCTCATTTGCGATCCAAAGTCTGTGTTTGATTACCCGAACACAGCTTTAAATTAAGTCGGAGTTGTCTTGTCAGGAGGTTCAGGATTTAAAGCTCCCTCGTTCCATAAATTCCATAGAGATTTTGGGATACCGAACCGGGAATGCTCAGCTAAACCAAACATTTTTTCGGAAAAAGTTTTACATCAATGTCACAACTTCGAAAAAGCATCGAAAAATCATGAGTGGCTAACAGGAAACTCGACCACCAATTCTCCTGTGGTGTGATTTTTGGCCTCTCGTAGTCTTCTGTTCTGATTTTTACCCCCTAAAAACCTGATTGTTTGTGTTATGAGCTCCATATTAAGAATGGCCAGTGTATTTGTGCAAATAATATTTATACAGTAAAGGTTTCACCCGCCCGCTGGGTGCTTGGTTCTGTGGTGGGTTCTGCTGGAAACCATCCGGTTGTTGGAGAGCTTCAACTGTGAAGGAAGATTATTTTACCCAGTCATCACCAGAGATCACGGCCTGTTTGCTCGAGCCGTCTCACAATGGGCCCTACTGTGTTTGGAGCACTTTGGCATTTTAGCATGTCGTCATTGAGAACGGTGCCGACAGGGGGAAACCGAATCCTGCATCATTAGCATGTATTCCTCTGGCAGAGCCCAGAAGCAGCTGACATGTAGCTCAGGACTAAGGTCAGTGGCTTGGTTCTGGTTCAGACGGTTGTGTTGTCTTCCTCCAGCAGGCCGAGGGTCAATCGTGCCGATATTATCCGATGTGTGAAGTCCTGCCAGCCCAATGACATCTCCTGCGTGCTCAATCCCATCCTCTCCATCTCACACACGGCCATCTCGCTTCCCACCTTCAGAGAATTCAACAAACCAGAAGGTACAGCTGTGATTTCCATTTCCATCAAATGCTTTTCAATGTAAATGTAAATATATGATGCAAAGATAGATAGATAGATAGATAGATAGATAGAATTACAGAACAATAGAACAATAGATAGAATGATAGATAGATAGAATGATAGATAGATAGATAGAATTACAGAATGATAGAATGATAGAACGATAGATAGATATAATTACAGAACAATAGAACGATAGAATGATAGATAGATGGATAGATAGGTAGATAGAATTACAGAACGATAGATAGATAGATAGATAGATAGATAGATAGATAGATAGATAGATAGATAGATAGATAGATAGAATGGCAGACAGGCAAAATGATATACAAAACGAGATAGACAGACAGACCAACAGACAGATAGAAAGACATCTAGGTAGAACAACAGATGGAATAAGAGGCAGACAGAACAATAGAACGATAGATACATAGACAGACAGACAGACAGACAGATAGATAGATAGATAGATAGATAGATAGATAGAAATAAGAATCCAGATAGACAGCTTGACAGACAGACATTTAGAAAGACAGACTGACAGAATGATAGGCAGAATGATAAAACAATGGACAAAATGATAGACAGATAGGTAAAATTCAACTTCCTGTGTACTGTGGCCAACTGTGGTCAGTTCAAATTCCCACTCATGGATTCAAAGAAGCAACTCCTTCACTTCTGAATATTGCTGAACCCTGGTATCCACGTCCACCAAATCCTTGCGTGTTTGTTCACATACTTACATAGAAGGCTGAAGAAATTCAATAATAAATTGACAACAATAAAACAATGGCAATCACTGAGCCAAACATCAGGCCTCAATTCTGATGTTTCTTCACTCTGAACATCTCAGCACAGTGAGACACACCCATCTTCAAAGTGTCTTCTAATAAAATCCATGTTTTTTTTGTTTTTCCCAGAAATTGTGTTCCTAAAATCTCCCACACCTTCTCACCTTCCTCACGTGGACTCCCCGGAGATTGTCTACGACATCCTGGAAGGAAACGTCCAGAACTCGTTCGACATCATCAAACGTCTGGATCATGGGATGATCGTGGGTGAGTGTCACTATGGCATGTGGCTAACAATGCCAGCGGACCGCAGACCGAGCCCAGAGGCATCCCTGTCTGGAAATTACATTTGCATCAAGTGGTTTTCTGACCTAATTTCCCATTACGAAAGATTCTCCTCATTTTTTTTGTTCTTTAAACAAACCAAATGCATGTGTCTCTTTGAGGGAGCACGTTAGCGGGAAGCATGAATCTACACGGAGAGGCTTATTCAATCTAACTCGTTCCGACAGTGTGATTCCTATCTTGGTCCTGCTGATGATAGGCCTGAAGAATCGACGGCATCTTTTGCGGCCTACTCGCTGCGTTTGAAGACGGTCATCCATGTGTTGTTCATCCCGAGCCCATGTTTTTCCTTCGCTATAAGCATGTGGCCTTGTTTCCCACTTTTGTGGCATGACCGACTTTAATGTGTTCTCTGTCTACTCGCTCTGTTTTTCCAGGACACTTTGAAAAGCTCACAAAGAGGTTTTTTGGTGTCCAGACGGTTATTGTTGGTGCACTTTCACACAAAGGTTATTGGGAAGGGTTACCATTCTGAGTTTATAGAAATGTGGGTGAGACTGATGAGAAACATACTCTTTTGACATCCCTTGAAGCAATATTAAAATGAAATTCATTCATAGATTATATAACATGAAAGAGTGAAACGTCTAAAGTGTTCCACAAAACCAGCGGCTATGCACTTTAAAACTAATTAAAATCAAGACAAATTATTTTAGTCATGTTCAACTATGAATAAGAGTTTTGGTGTCTATGGTTTGTCCTTTCCTATACAACAAATTCTGGCACAACATTTACACAAGACAGTATCTTAATTCACAACTGATTTCAATTTATATGTGGTTGATCAATCATTTTTCAAAATCCATAAATCTACTACTTACAATTACAAAACTTTGGTGCAAAAACTCATTGGCAAACATTTACAATAACATTCAATACATTAACAGTTAATGAATTCGGTTTCATTAACTAACCAGTGTTATTTTAGTATTATTTATTTACTATATTATATTACAGTATTTATCAATATTGTTTCATGATTTTATTTTTATATTTTCAGTTTTACTAATTTTGTCATTTTTGTGATTATTATTAGCTTTTTATGTTTCTGTTTAGTTTTAGTTTTATTTCAATTTTAGTTTTAGTAATTTTAGTACTTCAACAAACTTTGTTTTTCATCAGTTTTTCATCTGTTATATATTACATTATTTGATTTTAGCTTTATTTAAATTACTGAAAACTATTTTAATAGTTTAATAGTAGTAGTTTAACAATAAAAATGCTTCTACTATATTCAAAAACCTACATTACCGTTAAGTTATGAATATTTATATATAATACAAATATAATAAAATAAAATGAATAATAATAATAAAAACAATAAATTTCAGTAAAAAAACAAAAAAAGTGTAATAGTAGAACAATAAAACAAACTGTTCACTTTATTTTAAGGTGTCCTTGTTACAATGTAATTATACATTTAAGTACTGAGTAATATTAATTAGCTAAATGTACTTACTATATGTTTAGGATTTGGGTTTTGCTTAGGGTTACTTGCGTGTAATTATGCATAATTAATTGTTATTATAATAGTAAGTACATGTAACATGTGTAACAAGGACAACTTAAAATAAAGTGTTACCAACAATACTTCTACCATATTCTAAAAAATTTGTAGGATTTCAATTGTATTATGAACTACTATAATATTTCTAATGTAAATTTATAAATTAACATAGAATAAATTATGAACAATATTTAAGATTGTTAGTTTAAGATACCTTCTGTAATATAAATTAATTATATAAAGACTTGGATCTTGATTTGGACGAGTATGTGACCACCTAGCAACCACGCAGCAGCACCCTAGCAACGGTTTTCATTTTTGGCCGACCATTGTAATGTAAAAATCCAGTTTTTTTGTTTGTTCTCATGTAAAAATCTTTATTTAATTTACTCCACAATGGCGCCTGAACATGAAAGATCAGTGTGACCGAGATGAAACGCATTATAATGAAACCCTGAAGAGTGTAATTGGCCGCCTTTGTGTGCGCAGACGTCATGGGTAGTTTCCCCTCCTAGTCGAGAGAATAGACTTCCTAAATCACCATAACACAAAAGAGCCACAAACAACTGGCAGCAATGGTGACGGCAGACACTCGCGGTCGTGTGGAATCCTGGCATGATGTCATGACGTCTGAATGTGTGCGTTTGTCTGGCCGTTCGAGCCGGTGCCACATGAAAGCCTTTCCTGCACTCAGTACGAGGAGCCACCTCTTTCCAAACGCACCGTTCTTACGGTCCCAAGTCGGGGGCCTCATATCGTGACCAGAAGCTCCTTCAATTAAACTCAATGGTGGTCCTATGGACAAATGGACGTGCCGTGAGTCAGTGCTGGAGAACAGCTGGTGTGGATAAATCACGAATGTACGGAGCGCAGCGGCTCCTCCGTCCCGTTTCCCTCGGGCTCTGGATTACAATAGCGGAGCTTGATGTGATTTACGAGACATGTCACTGTTAAAACAATATTTGTTGATGCTGTGGTGTGTTTGAGCAACATGGAGATGGTTGTACGAATCTATTAACCTCAACTATTAACATAATGTGTCATCACAATCCTTGGCCTAAAAGCTTGCAGATATGATATAAGAAAGCAACTATGCTTGTTTGCAACTAGCTTTTTAAGATACAAACTACTCATAATGTACATGTTTTAGGTGAAGTGCTGTTTCTGCACTACTAGCATCATCAAAAAGAACAATAATGACTGTTACCAAACAGGTTTCCACCATCTTTGTCACGCAAGTCACGCTCCAAACGCATGCGTTTAGGAGGATTTAAAGCAATTTTTATATTGCATTCAAGCTCTACTTTTAGAAATTGCATTCCCTGGGAATTGATCCCATGGACTTGACGTTGCTGGCGCTATATGCTGAAAGCGACATGCTGCTGTAAATATTTTCAGAACAAGCGATAATTTATAGCACCACAAAGTGACAGTGTTTGTAGTTTGTAGAAATAACTCTATACATGTACAAAACTCAAACCTCCTTTAAAAAAATCAATAAATAAATGAAATTTCTCCCGCCACTGCAATCAATATTTCAGTAAAAAAAAAAAAAAAATCGACAATGAAAATATAATACAAATAAAAAACAATACTACTACTACTAATAATACTAATAATAATCAATTTCTGTTAAAAAAACATTTAAAATAAATAAAAACAATTATTTCAAATGTAATGATAAAATATCAAATTAATTACAACATTTTCACAGTATAATAATTAAATAATTTTTTTTACTACTACTACTACCACATAAATAACATTAATTACATTTAAAATTAAAAATTTAATTGATTATTAAAATAATAAAATACAACAACAACAATAACTATTATTATTTTTTACTGTACAAGAGTAAAATTAGAATTTTCGTAATTTACTTTTTTTGCCAAAACATTTCAAGCTTTTATTTTGGCCGTAGACTACAGAAACACCTTAAAGTTTCTTTTTCATTGTCAATAGTTTTAAAAACACTTCTCATTTTAAATAAAGCTAAATGTTCTAAACATCTGCACACAAAATATTTGAAAATACACTGTCGAAACAAAATGAACCTAATGCTCCTTGTTTTCTCAAAGCACATTTATAAGCGAGCGCCTTCAGAGATCGATTTATTAATCACACATACACAGAACATATCACAGTTTAGATTTTATTTTGATTGCTTGTGCCACAGTTGTATCACAAACGGTTGTAAAATAAGGTGAAGAAAGAGAAAGTATTAACATCAAAAATTACATTCCTTTTTAGTTACTATAAACAGAAAATCTAAAAAATTCTTTGGAGCTTCTTCAGAAGGCTTGAAACTCCCAGTCACTGGCATTTGTCTTGGACTTGTAATGCCCGTTTCTGTCATCCACACGTTTGTGCAGCGGTCACGAGTGAGTGAAAACACAATCGTGTCTATGGTGACCACCTGAAAGCATCAGAACAGCAGCCGTGTTTGTTTTTAACGCCGCTCCAGGTAGGTTGACTAAGTCAACATTTCAAGAAGAGAAGAGAGTCTTTGACAGGGTTTCTGCAGGTTTTATGAAGGTGAATTCAACCCTTTTTAAGACCAAGTAAAAACAATTTAAGACATAAATTGACTGGAACACAATACGCCAATATGGTCTATATGTAAATGTCTTGTATTAGCACTGCTTGAAAAATACTTCAAACAAATCTCCATTACTTTTTCATTCATTTTACAAATAATAAATAACTTTAACTGTTCGTTCTGATCACGCTGCAAAAAAGTAATGTTCTTCGTCAGCATTTGTCTTTTTTCCAGTGAAAATGTCTAAAGATTCATAAATCGTGATACATTTACTTGAGAAACAAAATGACATAAAATAGGAAAGTCTTGTTTTATGACAAATTGATCAAAATTATGTTTATGATTAAAACAGAACAAATATCTGCCAATAGGTTTAATTAAGGGAAATTACCTTTTCATACCCCAAAGACAGATATTTTTTCTTGTTTTAACTCTTGCTCTTCTGTTGTTTTTGACGAAAACCGTTTTGGATTTTCAGAATTTTTTACTTCAGAATGGTGTGAAACTTGGTAAAGCACTTGAGATGTGAACACACACACACACACAGGTTTGTTTTTATGGTTTATGGGGACTCTCCATAGGCGTAATGGTTTTTATACTGTACAGACCGTATATTCTATTGCCCTACACCAACCCTACCCCTAAACCTACCCCTCACAGGAAACTTTCTGCATTTTTAGATTTTCAAAAAAACTCATTCTGAATTATTTATAAGCCTTTTGAATTACGGGGACACTGAAAATGTCCTCATAAATCACCTTCTCGTTGTAATACCTGTGTCATACCCATGTCATTATACAAATTTGTGTCCTCATAAACCACATAAACATGCACACACACACAGACAAAAATCATGGACATGATTCGAAAAGA